TTTTTTTTTTTTTTTTTTTTTTTTTTTTTGCATGAATTGCTGCGTCCATTCCTTGTGGCATTTGAGGCCGATTGGGGGTGGGGTGGGGATCAGTTCTGCTGCGGTGGCATTTATCTGGTTTGCATTGATCGCTGAGGTTTAAGTCAGATGCGTTTGCTGACCAGTCAAACCCAATGATACCTCTGTCACTAAAGCAGGTGCTGAGTCCTCCTGGAGAACGAAATCAGCAGCTGAGAGAGGGAGGCATGAAGTGCTCCAAGAACCTTGGACCAACATCAGCAGATGACGTGGTTCCTCCAATCCTCACCTGCTGTAGAACCTTAATGTCCAAATGAAAAAAAAAAAAAAAAACTTTCATCTGAAACGGGACCTTTTTTCTCTCCACTTAATCCAGTTTAAGTCATTGCTGCTCAGGTTCAGGAATGAGATGACATGAATGCATCAGATGCATCCCGCATGTGGGTGGGATGGCTCTGAAACGGGCTTTCTACGGCACACCTTTCTTTCCTTCCATTCAAACTTTCGTTAATTTGCTTGGACACAGCACTTTGTGGACAGACGGCTTCTTGGCAATGATGTTTTGTGGCTTTCTGAACTCGTAAGCCGTGAAACATCTGTAAAGTCAGCAGTTTCCACCAACCAAGTACTGAATGCATAAACAGTACTGAACACATTTCTGCTCTGAATAGCCTTTCATTTTCATTTTCTGAGACACTGAATTTTGAGTTTTCAACCATTTTAGAGCTGATAAATACTGTGTGAAAAAAATTGAGCTCCTATGTCTTCTCCTTACGGTCTTGCTGCCATGTGGACAAATACACTACTGATTCATAAACAACCAATCAGAACCAGGAGGAGGGTTTTAGCGCTGTCAATCATGCTAAGACCCCCCTCCTTGCTCTCTGCTAAGTCACTGCTGTCCCACCAGAACAGAGCCTGCTGCTAATGCTCAGTCTAATTAGCATGGTCACCGATGATGGCAGATAAGTTTCCTGGAACAGTAAGTCATTTCTCTCCCTTGGCTCTGATTGGTTGTTTTTGACTGGGAGCGGTGCTCAGCCTGGAGTTGGAGAATCTCAATCTTTTCACAGATTATCTCTCATATTGCACTGTTATGATATGGTAACAGTTTGAACATATGTGTAAAAAAACAACATATTTTTGTAAAAAGTTACATACTGTAGCTCTGAACCACATTCCTTAACATGACCAGAAATAAACCTCAAAATCATGCATGAGTTTCATTTCCAGACTGAATTCCCAAAATAAACAAAGTTTTTGGAAAACACTTTTATTCAGTGAGCTGCAGCTGCACATTTTGGAAAGTTTCCCTGTAAATTTCACCCTCCCCTCTTCATTCTCCCCCCCACCACTCCGTTCTCCACTTCGTTCTCCACTCCGTGTCCTTGACAAGGCGCCAACAATCGCTGTCAACAATGGCACCTTGTTTGTTTTGGCTGCGGAGAAGTCACAGAGGCAACACCTTGCTGCGCGTGCTGGCGCTCCTGCTCCTGGAAGACAGACAGCTCCCCCTGTTCAAGGAGCTCAGAGGGATACTGCTGACGCCGCTGGGCCCTCTGGGAACATGACGCCCGCACGACAACACCTCCAGAGCACACTCACGGAACTGTTGGATATAAACACACACACAGAGAGAGAGAGAGAGAGATGTGCTGTCAGGAAAATGTGTAGACAATTAAACAACTTCTTTCCCCCCCTCCCTCGTCTCAGATGCACACTGTGCCCGTTTACCTGTTTGTTGGAAAAGAAGTAGATGATGGGGTTGTACACCGGGCTGGTTTTTGCAAAGTACATGGGCAGAGTGGCAATGAGAGGAGGGATGCGCAGCTCCGGATCCACCACCACCACCACTGACAAGGCCGTGTAGGGCAGCCAGCAAACGAAGAAGGCCGTTATCATCGCCAGGACCATGGTGACGGCGTGATCGTTCTCACTCTTCCTGGAATGGCCGCCTTGGAGCTCCAGGCTCCTGTTCAGCTGGTGGGGGGAAAAAAAGGACATTTGAGCCTCCGTTTAACACCTAAAGTCTTAATTTAGACGAGTGATTTTAAAAGTGCATTCCAAGTGGTGTGAAATCTACAAAAGTCCACCTTTCTCAGGGATTTCAGCACGTGGAAGTAGCAGTAGATGATGATGGCGACGGGTGCGATGAAACAGAGGAGCGTGTACAGAATGAGGTAGCTGTAGTTGCTCCACGACCTCTCCTCCCACGCCAGAGAGCAGGACGTCTGGACGCCTTCGGGACCGTAGGAGCTCCAGCCGAGTAACGGGGCGACAGCCCAGAACAAGCAGAAGACCCAGACGAACAGCAGGCCCTGCAGGCTTCGCCGCATGCTCAGCCTAAAAGCAGCTTTCGGGCGGCACACCAAGTTGTAGCGCTCGAAGGCGAGAAGGGTCAGAGTGCAGAGAGACACCAGGCCTAAAAAAAAAATAAAAAATCTAAATTTCAGAATCGAAATTGAGAGAAACATGGATGCAAAACAACAACAATGGAAGGGTTTCTAAGCTAATGCCAGGGGTAAAATTCATCTTCAGCAAATCCATGCAATACATTGATGTTTAATTGTTGTAGCATGTCAAGATGTAACTGTTGGTGGAGGGAGGGTGATTCATTTAGCAATTTATAAAGAACTGAATAAGTTATAAACTGGAGGTTTACCCAGATCCCCCCCCCCACCCTAAATCTACACACAGATATTTTAGATGTTTCTTTTTTCTTTTCCCATTGAGATTCCCATCCTTACCGAAGTAATTCACAGAAAATCCCTGGAAAACGCAGGCGGCGTGGCCGATAAAGTAGGAGCCCTGGTAGTTTGTGACGGTGGCGACCAGCGAGCCGCACAGGGCGATCATGAGGTCGGACACCGCCAGGCTGAGGATCAAGACGTTCATGGGCTGCAGGAGAGACGCGTTCCTCAGCATCACAGCTATCACCAGTCCGTTGTTAAAAACCGAAAACACCGTGTTGATGAACATCAGGAAGGAGAGAATGCTGTAGCCCACCCTGGGGAAAACGACGGGAGCGTCGGTCACCGTGGCTGTGGGGGGGCTGCTGTTCCCGTCCATGCTGGTCGAATGATCCTGTGAGGCTCTGAAGTGATCCTGCAGGTTTTATCGTTTGTGATTACTGCTGCCTGTTGGTCTCATCTGATATCTCAGATTGTGCACCTGTCTAATTGAGAAAGCAAAAAAAAAAAAAAGCAATATGGGAAATTGACTCTTAACACGATTTGCATGGATTAAACCTCCTTAACCCAGGGCTGTAATTGTAATTGGGAAGTTCAGTGTGATAAACAGCAATCAGACCTCAACACTTTTTTTTCCTGAAAACTTCAAAGCTTCTAATTTGTAGGAAGAAATAAGCAAATATATAAAGTATATCAATATTTGAGCGGAACCAAACAAATACAGTCAAAGCTGAATGTAATTACTAAAACACTTAAAGAAAAAACCCTCCAACATTGGAGAGGAAGGATTGTAATGCTAAAATGACACATACAATTACAAACAAATCACAACAAACTACGTGATTTCATGGCGATAAAGGTTATCGCCACCAAAAGTTTATATCATGAATCCCTTTTACATGATGCATCAGTGCTTGACATGATTTTTTTTTAAATTCTTTTATGAAACAGCAGCATCCACGACAATAATCATTTACCAATCGTCTAAAATGAAACGTACAGGCTGAATTTGGTGTAAAATGGCAAAACCAGTAATAAAAAAAGATCCTAATTCGTCAATGTGCACAAAATCAAATGAACCAAAATACTGCATAATATCATCCTAATATAAAAGCGACACGTCCTGCAGTAATGTGAACAACAGATTAAGGCAATGGAGAATAAAATGTCAACGTAAAAACTCCCATTTCACCAGGGAAGGTAAGAGACAACAAGGCAAAACCACAAATGCATGTTAAGCCCGATGTGTTACTGCCCCCTATTGCTCAAGATAGATAAAATCCATCTATTCTATTAAATACTAACACACTCTCAGTTACACACACACGCACACACACACACACACACACATGCATTTGGCTTAAAAAGTAATACATCCAGTGTGAAGACAATTATCTGAAAGGACTGAAATAAATATGTTTAAAGAAACCACAAACCACAGTTTGAACTTCTGTTACACTTTAAAGGGCATATATTTCAGAGCAAAAAACAAAAAAGAAAAAAAAATCTTGAAAACGTGAAGCTTAAATAATGACTCATTTTCCATCATAAGTTGATTTAAAATAACATATTCTGAAAAAGTCCTGCTTCCACACATCATCTGCACCCAGATGGCGGATGGAAGTGTGGCTGATCATGAGCAACACAGAAAAACAATGGAGAGAGCAAAACTTGGCAAACATAGATGAAGAAGAACATTTTCTCCTCACCCAACAAAACTGTCCCACAATTTCTTCCCAGGATTAGGGAAAGATTTTTAATCTCAAAGGACGACATGAATGACAGTATTATGTATTCTCCAGGCTCATAGGGGAATTTTATAGCTCAACCAAGTAGCCATGTTACCTTCAGCTGTTATTAGAATTCTGTATTTATCAAATATGACTTATAATAATTTTTAGAATTGGGCCTCTGTCTCTTTAAGAAGCTCCTGCTCTTTCCAACACTCCACCCTCAGCATGACATCACAAAAACCTTCCTCCATTAAGCCTTCGACATCGTTCTGAGCGTTTCACTGAGAAGCAGTTCGTCTGATGAGCTCAGCTGATGAGCGGTTCCGCCACGTGTTTGCCAATTGCTGCAGCCGCTAGTCTGGAGGAGATGTGTGGGGGGGGAGTAGCACAATGGCTGCCACAGGAGACTAAAAGATTTCCCAAACATGCATGAAAGAGTCAAAGCAACCCTCCGACTTTGTTTTTGATGAGGGAATAACACGATATAAAGCTTTAAAAAGTTGATTTGATACTGCCAGTTAAAACCAAATACACGGAATGATTATATGTGTAAAAGTGACTTGCACAATCGCTGCAAAGCTTGCTAATAAAAAGCTTTGTTTCTTTCGCATTATTTTGCCTGATACTTTAGACATGGAAATAAAGATAACTCATGATCTACAAGTTTGAACACAGTTGAGGTAAAAACAGAAAAAAAAAAGATATATGTCCATTTAAAATACAAACTACTACTAAAATACACTTCTTAAAGCAATGTTAAGAGACTGACTGTTCAGTCTTTAACTCTTAAACTTCCCTGTGTGATCAGACTCTGCTAGAGGAGGAGGAGAAGAAGTAAAAGAAGAAGAAGAGACCCCAAACCCAGAAGAATCTTGCTCTGGCCAAAAGGGCGCCTCGTGCTGCAGAGGAGTGCGTCGAGGAAAAAAGGTGTGCTGGAGGTCATAGTTGAGCATGCAGCTGATAGAGGCCATGTAGATGTCGGCGAAGCGGGAGAGTCGGCGTGAGAAGTAGGTGGGATTGTGGTAGGTACGGAAGAGGCTGCCGAACTGAGCGTTGAAGATGTCCTTCGTCTGCGGCCTGCCACGAAAAAACAAACACAATCAAGACATGGGCACTTCTACCGGAGCAGAGTTAATGATGACTACAGCTAAATCCTTTCAGATCAAATCCATCTTAGATTACTTCATGGCTTCTCTTTCTTTGATCCACTCCTCGACGACAGCTTGGGTCGCTGGATCCCGATGTGCCTGTTCAGACGAAAACCCCGTGCACGTTAAAATTAAAGAAGTAAAGACGGAGTGACATAAGAAGATTAAATGGAATGTTTGCGATGGTGGTCTGACCTGCATCTGTTCGATCAGTACGGTCAGAGCCTGTAACCAGGTCATCATATGGACGTACTGCGGCGTGTTCATGATCTTTATCTCCTTCCGCAGCTCAGGGATGATGGCGCCTGTCCTCCAGCCGTGTTTCAGAGTTAAATCCTGAAGAAAATCAAAGTTGAGTCAAAAGCATGTGAGCTGCGCCAATTAACTGCAAGAAATTACCGTATTTTTCGGACTATAAACTATAAACCACTACGTTTCGCCCACGCTTTGAACCATGTGGCTTGAAGCCCGGTGTGGCTTTTCTGTGGATTTTTCTTCAACCACCAGGGGGCGCTTTAGCAGGAAGTGAATCATTGGAAGTCAAAATTGGAAATCAAAAGAAGAAAGTGCTGATTTTTATTTATAACAAGCACATGCTAGCAGCAGGAAATGTTTTCAAACTCATACTCGCTCATCATGGAAACAACAGGAAGAAGTTCATATGATGCAGCTTTTAAGTTGAGGGCTAAAGATCTGGTAGTACAGATCGACAGCTGCTAAACTCGGCGTGAATCCATGGTTCTGCGTTGGAGACGGAGGGCTGCGTCCTCAATAGCAGATTTATTAAGGACGCGGCAGAAAACCGAGAGCGGCGGAGATACCAGCGGCTTATTGCCCGGTGCAGCTTATATATGTACGTTTCCCTTTTTTTTTCTTTTTTTTTTAAACTTTGTAGGTGCGGCTTATAGTGAGGTGTGCTCTAAAGTCCAGAAAATACGGTAGTTAAAACAGTAAAGTGGCGACATTATGCTTAGGTAAACATTAAAAGAAATGTCAATAGACAATTTTCAGCTGGTATGGGATCTGATGAGTGACTCAAAAATACCCAAGATGGAGTTGGAGAGCATAATTGTGTAATTGAATCAACTCTGCCGTAACCTGAAGACATTCCTCCACTGTGCCTGTTTACAGCCATTATCTCCTTCTCTCCATCCAGGGGGGTCTGACAGTAAGCTGTGGTCAGTATAAACCACAAATGTCAACTTCTATTGCTCTAAACAAGCTCGACAACATAATTGACTCGTGGCTGCTGGCCACTGAGCAGGCTTCATGCCAGTGATGTAAATCGTTTGTTTCAGTATCACTCTTCACAGCTGATCATGCATATTTATAAACACATCTCCGAAGCACTTAAACTCTGCGATTCCAAATAATATATTGGCAGAAGTTGGCCTGGCAGTAACAAACGAGCCACTTTTAGAGATAAGAATTGAATAAAGTGGAGTGATACTGGCGCTCTGACATTTAACAATTTGCGCAGATAAAATAAACAGGAGATAATGCATTTTAGTGACCATTAATCCATTTCAAACATTGAGCTGGAGTCTCAGTTTGCGCATCGGTTTGAGCAGAATGAATAAGGACCAGTGTTAGTAAAGCTTTGCACTTTTAGTGATAAAATAATAATAAAACCTTTATTAGGCCAGATACTTTTCTATGGAGTTCTATTCATAATTAATATTTATTTTCCACACACGCAGTTAAACATTTTGGCAGACATGAGTGGACGCGGTTATCTTTGCAAATGGGAACGTGACATTTTTATTTCGCACGTTTACGTGAACGATGCATACTGTAATCATCCGAATACTGCTGAAAAAAGAAGATGTTTTAACACGACTGCAAGTTGGAACGTTTCGGTGTTTCACTTCAAGTTCCTTTGAGGAAAACACGACGGCCAACAACACGAGGGAAAAGGTTTTGAGATGATGAAAAACGTGTTTCCTTACGAGTAAAAGTCGTGCTGTTTTGTTTTTGTTACTTTTTCCACAAGATAAATGATTCCAATTTTTCTTATCATCTGGAAAAAATGTGTCATTAACTACAACACAGTCATGTCGTTTTTTTTTTTGAGAAAAGCATTACAAAGCCCCGATGTTCAGCTCAAACAAAACAATAGCTTTGTTTCATATCTATACAAAAATTAAACTCCCTAACCTGCTGCAGCAGTGAGTCCACATTGTTTTCTTTCCCAGGGGCTGCAAATATGCTTGGAAGACCCAGACAAGTCTTATCTTCTTCTTCTGCAGAAAATCAGTAACCACCTAGGCACTCTATCTCTTTTAGGCTCGAAAATAAGCTGTGTACGCACTCTGAGAGGGCCCAGCTCTGCAAAAGATTTCAGCATTCTGATTATTATTTTTTATCTCTATTATTCATCAAAAATACCTAACCAGCAAGAAAAAAATCGCCCAGATGAACTGAAGCTTTTTTTGTGTTCTTGCTTTACTATTTTATTTTCCATCTTATACGCTGTGATCTGTTACTGTGATGTTATCACAGAAACATTCTTTTTGCCAACACGATCAGAGTCCAGGGGTAATGTGGGATGCCAAAACACGGTGTGGACCAGCGGTTTTCTTGTTTTTTGGTATTCCTTCTGGAATTTCATCCGACATCAAACCAAATCAAACGTCTTGAAAACAGCAAACGGCCCGTAGTTGTAAGCCTGTCGCAATAACAAATTTTGCAGGACGATAAATTGTCCCAGACGTTATTGCGACAAGTGATAATATTGTTGTTTTGAGAGCCGTTTCAAGTAATATAATAATAATAATAGTAATCGCATAAGAATGCAAGAACACGTTCTCAAAGATCAATAAATTTTAATTCTAATGAGCGTTTTAAACACTGGAACTGGAAGACATTTAGAATAAATAAAGAAAACCACAGAAACAACAAATAAAATAAATTATGAAGTCTCTATAAACAAAATTATCTTTAAAAAGAAAGAAAGATAATTTCTTTCTTTCTGTTATTTTTGAGACCAGAACACCAGACTGAAGACAATAAATCGAGCAAATGAAAATTATTGAGTTTCTTTAAATCTATCATGCGATTACGTAATTTATTTATTGTAATAGTTGCACAGTAAAGTCATTCACCCATTCAAACGTCTACTGACTGAACTTCCATCGCTCCGATGACCTGAACTCCCTGATCACAAGCCAAGTACCTGAACAGGTGATGATGTTAAAGTTTATATTGTGTTTTGGGTGTGGTGTACAACAGCACACCACAAACATGTGCATGTAGTTAGCTAATTACCAGCTTGTAGTTAAACAGGCTGAGATTCGACGTTAACTTGTGCTGCTCCTCATAAACCTCTTTGGTCTTCACTGATAACGAGCCGATTGCTCCTGCATTTGTGTCGGCAACATTCCTGAACCTCATCTGATAAGCCGAGACTCCCGCAGGGGTGTTATTGTGAACTGTGGAAAATTGACTGGAATATGGGCCGTAGACGACTGGGAAGATTAGACGGCCAGGATCTGTCTTTTTAGCTTAGAGGATTACACACTTCTCTGTGGTAAAACAAGACTCCTCTTTCTGCTCAAATCCCAAACAGCAACAGTGTTTCTAGATAAAATTAGCCATTAGTAAATATGTGTGGATGCTGCTTACTGCCAAGTCACTGTAAATGTGATCTCCAAAGTAAAGTACTTTGGATCCCCTCCAGCCAGTGAGTCTGAGGAACTCATAGAGGTTTCCCTGCAGAGCAGAAAGAAAAAAAAATCAAATAAAACAATGAAACTGTTATATCAATGAATATTGACACAGCAGGAAATTCACACAGAAAACTGCTGGATTGTTTCTCTGAGCCAAAGGCTTTATGGGAGTGAATTTGGACGGTTTTAACGAGACACTGGGTCAGAGATCTGTGAGAACCAAAGAACGAGCTCATCAGATTTCACTGAACCTCTTCCACTATATCAAATATAGAATAGAAATATGTTATGATGTACTTTATACAAACGTCAGTGGGCAGAGAGTGATTATTTTCACAGAAGAAAACATTTGCCTTCGAGTTGCCAAATTGTTAGCATTTCCATTTCCATGTTTACATTTTATTGCTTATTTCATTCACTCAATAATAAATATGAATAGTTCATGTAACAAATAAAAAAAATGGAAGTGGAGAAGAACAAATAAATAGTGAGCATGAGCTCAGTTCGACATTCACGCAATGAGCAAAGAACTGCTAACAGAGGAAACAGACAGTTTGGCGTATTTGTCATATTAAGATAATTCAGCTCATAATTCATTAAATATTCAATCAAACTTCTCTGAATGATGGAAATTATCCCAGATTTAACTTTTATTATTTTATTGCTCATTCCCAAGAGTTTAAAGACGAGGTTTCATCAGATTAGACATTTTAATGCAAAATTAAACTAAAAACTACATAAGTTTACAGTAATCCAGGATAAGAGTTATTTTCAACACAGTCTTCATTTTAACAGTTGAACTCATCTATTGACAAAGTGTTAAATTATGAATCAATTCATATTTGACTAAACACTCAGTTAGCAAAATAATTTTTTTAGACTGTATAAAATGTGAATTTTCCGACGCAGTACCTGCTTGTAGATCTCCCCTTTCTCCAGCCTGTGAATCCTGTCCCACAGTAACACACCTTTGTCTGTCACTCGCCTGAAGGGTCTGTGGAAAAAGTGCAAATTGTCAATAGTCTAAACAACAGCAAGCAGACCAATCATATTTATGAGAACGCAGCAGAAGCCACTCAGAGAAAACACTTACTTTCTCCTGTCGTTGAAGAAACTCGGTTTGTCGGCCTGGACGATAACGACGTCAAACAAGTCTCTCCAGTCTTTTCCCACAATGAAGCTCATTCCACGGTCCCTGATGAGAACAAGGTCAGAGTCGATAGATGCCTCAAGATGCGAGGCGGAGGAAGCAGCACATGGTCACAGTGCTGGTAATGCTGCAACTGTAACAGTTTTTTAAAAGATACACGGATCAGGGTGCGCGTCGACCTATGAAAACAAAACACCGGGGAATAGCTGCTTAGATGTGCCGGAGCAACGTTTTGTTCACTGCCGTCCTTTGCAACACTGTTATTACTTCTCTATTGGTGCCTTTATGTTGGGTAATTTTAAGGTACCATGAAGAAGAAAGGCTGAAAAAACAGAGAAGACTGTTTGAGTTTATCTCTTTGAAAGCTATGGACTGAGACATGAAGGTATTATGCAGAGACAGTCAAAACATAAGATAACTGAGGCACATAGAGATCCCAACTTCAAACTGGATCTGCTATAAAGAGGCATGAAGTGAAAAAAATATGTCAGTAAAAGAAAATAAACAACAACGTAGGACAAATTAACAAAAATATTGCCAGAAAATAATACCAAGTTAAGCTACAAAAAGGGGAACCAAAAAAAATCTATTTGAAATCGATAAAATCAGATAACAGTATTCAGTGTTACTCTGTAAATCTAGGAGGGTTTAAGTGATTCAGTTAATTTATTACACCTGAGAACAAAAAGACACCATATCTGTTGAACTTTGCCCTGTTCAGTCTTTACCTCAAACCAGAAGGGAGGAGAACAAATTTATTCTGTGAAGGAAGTTTGCTGCTGGCTAAAACTGACCTTCACTTCCTGCTGGCTTCTCGTCACAAACACTGCTGCCACTCACCTTACAGGCTGCGTTCACAATACCAGACATGCAGTTTCTGTTATACATACAATGAGAGGTATCTACAGCTAAAGACAAGAAAATAATGTTAAAACAGACTTGAAGACTGAAGCTTTAAGCCTTCAGATTTGGGAATATTTCAGTCATCGCTGGATAAACCAAAACAACTTTATGTGCTGCTGGTAGATATCACTGATGGTCTTTGACCTTATTTCCATACGGTAGAGTATTAGTAAAGTATATGCTGTTCCTAAAGTCCTTCATAAACAGTTGGCGTGGCTGTGGCAGAACGTCAAAGACAAAACATAGATTTTATTCAGCGGCGTGAGAACGAAGAGCGTAGTATTTTCTAAGGCAGAACCTCTGTGTCGCAGCTTTTACAAGAGCACATTTTTATCAATTTAAACATCAATATTTAGGGCCAGCCCAGCTTTAAAGCAGAGCATAGAGGGGCGACAATATTTCCTCCCTGATCGATAGCTTTTTCTACCCTGTGGCACATCAGCAACCGGACATCTACGCCGCTTCTCTGTGGCTCGGTGTGAGCGTTTTCGTCTGTTTGTACAAAACCTGGAGAACATGCAGCAGCTAGACACAAACTACATACATTTACAGAAATGACTGTAGTTACATTGCACTTTTCTGGTGTGTTTTCTTGTCCTAATTGGCCACTTTGCAGTCCCATTTCGCTCATCTCTGCAGCAGCTTTTCCCTCTTACTTACGTGCCCTGCTTTTCAAACTAATTTCCACATTGTTGACGCGACGGAGGCAAATTACAGATTGAGCTCGTTTTCCAAAGACACCTGGAGACGCAAGTCGGAGCGAACCGCCGACCCTACCGCCCGGTGGAAAACGTGTTTGCCGTGCGCTCTGAACGTCATCCATCAAAACCTGTATTTACATAGCAATTTAAAACACTCCATTAGTAAATATTTAAGAATTAACTAATTTCAGTGTGTGTACTCGTCTCCCTCCTTGTTGCTTTGATGACTTAATATTAAAACAAGGACATCGCTTCATTGCTTTTGGGCTTTAGATAATCTTTTGAAGCTCAAATTCCCAACTGCTCAATTTGTGCAAACAGCTTTGACTTCAAAGGACTTCATGGTCGATGCGAAAGTGTACGGAATAGTAAATGTTGGCGCTCTGATGTGTGAGGCCCGCTGCACACAGTGCCTCTGAAAAGTATTCAAACCCGTTGGACCTTTTGAGTCTGGAGCGCTGTCGGTTCAAGTTTTCCTTCCTAGACTGACGTGTATTTAGATCCATTCATCTGTCAACTCTGAGCTTCCCTCTACCTGCTGAAGAGCAGCAGCTCTGTGATGATGTCATCCCCCATGTCTCAGCATTGAGATGACGTTTTTCCTAAGGGTAATGTGATGTGTTGGCTTTCTATGTTTTGCATGAAAGCAAAAAAAAAAAAAAAAACAAACTAAATTTTGGTCTCACCTGACCAGAGCGCATTTTTCCACGTTTGCGTCCTTTACATGGCTGGTTAGTAACCTGGTGCTCATGGGAATTTTTATGGCTTTCCTATTGCCACACCTTAAATACCAGATTTTCGAGGGGGGAAAAAAAACCTAGTATTTGTCCTCTTCACAGATTCTCTGACATGAGCTCTTGATCTCTGCAGCTCCTCCAGAGTTAATATGGCCCTCTTGGCTGCTTCTCTGATTAATGCTCTCCTCGCCTGGCCTGTCTGATCAATGAAATGGCATTTATCGGAAGGCTCGCGGTTGTGTTGTTCTCTTTTCATTTCTGCATGGCGGAATGAAAAATGTTCGGTGAGATGCTAAAAAAAATTGGCCTAACTGAGCTTTAAACGTCTTTATTCCAGATGGTTTTTCCTTCTTTGTGATGTCGTTTGTTCATTACTGCTTGCTAACAAACTCCTTTATGCTGGGATAAAATTATGCACATCTATTGATTAAATATGTCACTTTTGAAGGTGACTGATTTAGCTGAATTTGTTTTTTCCATGAATATCAGATTGAGGATTGGATCCGGTGATTATAAGTGAACGTTACAGTTTTTCAGATTTTAATTCAATTCTACTTCATAGTTGAGCGCCAGTCAAAAAATCCCAATAAAATACAAAAACACACCAAAACAGGGCAGCTTTGGAAGCAATGTACGAACACTGCAAAACATCACTCGCTGTGAACAAACATGGCTTAATCTTACTCACACAAAATCAAAAGGGCTGTTGGTGATGAGAAACATCTTCTTTCCATGCGCCGACAGCTTCTTCAACACAGCATGGCTTTGCTCACCGTACCAAATGTATTTTCCTAGAAAAAAAAAACAAAAAAACAGAAAAAAAGAGGGTCAATAGTACTAATCTATTGTGCTTTCTATTTAAAAAAGCGTGACCTCTCAATGCTGAAACGATGCGTTTGCGCCTTCTGAGATAAGGCAGTATCATTTTCTCAAACAAAAGGAAACGTGTTAAAGTATGTTACCGATATCCGCCTCCACAGCTCGATACATGATGCCCTTGACATGGACATCTCTGATGGCTTCCTGCGAGGAAGAAGAGCAAACAGCACTCAGCCAGAAAGTCAGCGACACACAATTAGCATTCAGCTCTGACAGCAACTTTGCTCTGTAAATAAACAGTTGGCTTGAAGCACAAGAAGAATCGTTCTTGAATGCGAATGACACGGGAAGAAAGCCGGAGTTTCGGAGCTCTGTTGTCACAGCGAGAAAACTTTTGAACCGACGACTCCATAAAAGCCACACGTACACTTGTGGGGAAGCCTAAAAACCTCCATCAAATTCAAAGACTAGCTGACGCAATAAAAAATTTAAAAGAGCAAAAAGTTTCAAAAACGCAAAAGGTCAAAACTGAATCATAAAGCGGGAGGGAAGGAAGAGATTAAGGAGGGCGTCCTTGAAAAGATGAGAGGGATTCTTCAAACGCAGCACGTGCGTGTGAGTGTGTGCGAGTGTGTGTGTGTGGAGCTTTTAATGACAGCTATCTGTCAAAAAAATGCTTTAGCTTCACTGAGAACAGACAGGAGCGGCACGACAGCAGGCCTCAGAGGGAAAACACGGCGCTGATTTCTCACCGTTCCTCCTGTGAAGTAGCAGAGCCATGTGGCCGGTGGCAAAATTGCTCGTCTAAAATTAGACGCTGCTTTTTAGTCGTGCTAAAATTAAGATGGCACAGGACGGCTGGAGTGTCGCAGAGAGCTGCAACGTGTAAACACAGCAACACTCGAGCACTATTAGTCTGGGATAGCTATTTATACCCCTAAAGCTTTAGAAATATTTTTTGCTACAATCACAAACCTGAATGCGTTTTAGAATCATTTTGTGAATTTGTGACAAACACAAGAGTATGGTGTGATAAAGCATATAATGTTTACAAATGTCAAAGAAATGTGTAAGAGTGTCACACAGTAAGCCAATACTGACCAACATGCAAACACCATCTGTGGTGGAAAACTGACACTGAGCGAACACAACCTCGCCACAGGAAAAGGGTAGTGGCAGCATTATTCAATCAGATTTTCCCACTCAGGGACAAGGGTGTACAGAAAATGGATGGATGGACGGACGGATTTTCCCTTCTTTGATGAAAAGATAAGTTCAGAGAAGATGGAAGAAAGCCTGTCAGAGGCAGCCGGCTTGAAGATTTTCACCTTCAAGCCGGGCAACAACCCCAAACAAACAGCACAACGAACACTTCAGAGATCAAAATCAGAGTTGGTGACAAGACTTTAAAATCTAGTTTCACAGATACCATCCATCCGATCTGAGTGAATTTAGCTATTCTGCAAAGAGGAAATAAAGAAATGCGTGCAAAGCAGCTGGAGGCACAACCCTCATCGTTTGCAGCCGGAACTGATGGAGAAAGATGGTCCTTCAAAGAATTTCCTCATAAAGGCTGAATAAACATGTGCACAACCCCTGCACATAACCATGAAATGATTACGAAACCACGTTCATAATCATTTTAATCTCACTTCACTAATATACACAACTGCAATGTAAAAAACAAACAAACAGAAATGTTCATATTGTTTTGAAATACACTGCAAGGTAGGATTTTAACTGCGGGCAGACACCAGCAGATGCAACCACGGATAGGAAGAACGATGCAACAAAGACGAGGCGCGTTTACCTTTACGTCTTTGTAGAGATGGACGGGCTCGTAATCGATGTTGTGCCTCATGAAGAAGTCGTTGACACAAGAGAGGAGTGTCATCTCCGGCAGCGAGAATATGTCCATGAACTGCTTCATGGTGTGGCCGTGTGTACTCTGCAGGACAGGACAGGCGTTCATCATCACTGTGTGCATTTGAGGCTTTGGCAGCTAAGCTGAGAGCTAGAAAGTATGCAAATGAGCCTCACCTTGCCATAAAAGTCACTCATAATCTCAAGAGGAACATGGGAGCCTTCATACATGGCAATGACTTCCTCGTCAGGCATTGGATGAAGACCTCTGCAAAAAAAAAAAAAAAAATTTAATTTAGTAATCTGTCATTTTATCAATTATTTTGATGATTAATCAGATAAAGAAACAGGCAAATTCTTTAGATTTTTCATTTAGCTACTTTGGCCTTTCTATATAACATCTCAAATTCAATAAAATATGCAAATAAACAAATAATTCAACTCTTTTTTTTAATTATAATATTAACATTTTATTACCTAAAATGCGATACCGTGTCATTCTTTCAGTGTACGCTTGATCATTTGCAGCAAAGGATTCGTCTGCGGCTAAAAATTGCTTCTAACATCAACTTGTGAAAAGCTCAGCTCTTTCTGCTTGATAGAAGATTAAAACAGTGTATGGCTAATCTGTTGATGAACATATTAATAATTGTATTGTTAGGATTTTTTTTATTTATTTATTTTTTTTACATAATGTTTAATCAGAGATATGAACCAAGACGCCTCATGACCCCACTAGGGAGAAACATGCAAGATAATGGATGTATGGATGTTGAACTGGATGAAGTTAAAATTACTAGAGGAGTTTTAGCTTAGACAGGTTTTATTTTACCTTAAATGCAAAACATATATAATTTTGTTGAGTTTGGGCTTAATTAATGGCTCTGAGAATGTTGTGTTTTCAGCAAATGGCTATTTTTTTTTTTTTTTGAGTCCAGCGTAATCGGATTGCTAAATTAGTCGACAATTATTTCATCATCGATTCATCACAGTTAATCTGATTAGTCGTTTCAGCCTTATATTCAACAACTTTTGCTGAAAAAAAAAATTTTGGTAATAGTTTAGATTTTTTATTTCCTATACAGACACGCATATACTAAAAATCTTAACCCTTGACTCTTTGTGACATGAGAAAAACGTCCTATCCTAAAACCATTAAGCAAATAAATGTTAAGATTTCCCTCTGCACTGAAGGAAAATACCTGTAAACAGTTCCCAACTGGATGTAATGAAAGGCATCTATCTTCATCAGGAGAGCCTGTTGCAAACCAGATCGATGATTTTAACACGGCAAGTCCATCCTTAGCCGATCCTTACGGTTTTACAGAGGAGAACTTCCTCTCACCTTCTGGACATCGTAGTGAAGCCCTCTTACTGCAAAATCTGGAATATATTCATACTTCCGCAATTCCTCTGGATACTAATAATCACACAAAATTCAAGGTGACAACAGTAGTTAACACAACGCTAATGCAGGTAACAGATGAGGTAACAGCCCGGTCTAATCTAGAGTTGCACAATACTTTAAATGTGATTAGCACAGTGTCAGCATCACAATCACAAAAAAACGTCTTGGATGCAATATTTGATTACATACTATGTTGCAAATTTTGCATGGACGACAAAGAAAAGAGCTGGAAAAACATGGGTTATTCTTAATCAATACAGACGTCACTGTATTTAGCAAAATAATGGCAATTAGATGTTTTTCTGATATTGAGAAGCCTGGGTTAAGCCTTAAAACAAGATTAATTTAGAAAACCCACAATACAGGGTTCCTGTTAAATTAATATTTATACTTTATGATTTTTTATTTATCTTTTGAAAAGAAAAAAAGGAAATTCAAATATCTGTCATCTAGAGAATGCAATAGGGAAGAATGTTTCCAGAGTCTTAATATTGCTAATCAAATCCTTTTCCAGGCTGTGGTGGAACGATGATAATACAAACGATTAGAACCCATTATTGTACATTTCCTTTAAAGTTTTGTTTTCTGCAGTCAGCCCCATAAAGCGCCTCACCCGGTGGTTGTTGATGAGAATGTCCCGCGCTATGTCAAAGATGAGTGTGTGGAGGTGGCTGGAGTAGAAGGCCAGGGTGTAGTCATAGTCGAAGCCGTAGATCTCGATGTCTCGTAGGCTCATCTCATTGTTTGCAAAAATGGTGTCGGGATCAACGGAGCTGGTGGATATTACTAAGAGAGAAAGGAAATAATGTCAAAGGAAAATCCTTTAATTTCAATAAATTGAACGACAAGGCACTTTAACAGACATTAACGATGTAAAAATGGATGATCTGTTTTCTAGTTTGAAGTCCAAAAATGCTGCCAAACGACCACATGCCTCTTTTTGGAATGGGAGGAAATGTGTCGTAGTTTATTTATGCCTGCTGACTGTAATATCATAAGTAATATATAAGAATTTTATGACAGCCCTTTGTGCAAGGTGACACCAAAAAATGATCCAGCACCCATTACTACATTGAGTTTTATTTGCTGATATGTTTTATTTTTCAAATATTGGCCAATAAATTATGTTACGTAAATTTTAACTCAATTAAAAAGTGTCTACAAATCCTAAAAAATAGATGGAGGATAAAAGAAAACTATAAAAAAATTTTGCCATTGCCTCAAACACTTAATATTTGTGATAATTTGCCTTCATAACAGCAGATATAATGTAACTACTCTTCACAAAGACTTTCACAACAAAGCTGTATAATAATAGTAAGGCATTTGTCACCAGGGTTAGATCAGCGTAACAAAGCTAGAGTATTTTTGCATTTAAGATATTAATGTTAGAGCAGCATACCCTCTGTCTGTCTTTTAGTCTCACTGTAAACAGACCACAGCCTCTCTGTAGCGTCCTGACCATCCGAGGAGCTGCTGCTCACAGATGCTGCGCAGTTTTTGGCTCCGCGCTGCTGTAGCAGCGGCTGGACACCGGCTCCTCCGCAGGAAACTGCCTTGAAATTCCTCTTCCACCAGCCACACCTGAACGGGTGGTTGGGTAGGAAGCTACGGAAGACACCCACTCTCCGCAGACACTCCGTGTGTCTCGCCAGAGACGAAAGGGACCTCGACAAGGGCGCCATTGCGGTGTTTTCTGCGGGACGAGCGGTTCGGAGGGCGCCGAGGAGTCCCAGTCGGCCGCATGTGGGACAGGCTCTTCTGTAAATACCGAAACTGTCCCTGTGTGGTTACTCTTACGTCACTTCCGCGTTTCTTAAAGTCACAGCCAATGAGAGGCCGATGCGTCCGGTATTCTGCCTGCTCGGTAAACAGAGAGAAAAAAATATATTTTAGATGCAGAGAATCACAGATATGTTTTAGATAATCTTACTAAAGTGTTGCAGCGTTCTAGACAATTAAGTGAAAATAAATATTAGTCTGGGAAAAGTTCAATATAAGTAAAAAAAATATATAAGTAATATATTTACCACCCTTTTTATGACAATAAAATAATTTTATTTTAACATCTAAAGTCATGACTGCGGACAACATATTTATAACAAATCCCGCTCTGAATTGATTAAAAAGAGATCATCTAAAATGAAACCCAGAAAGCATACAGATATAGAAAAATATAGAAAAATACACTAGTTTTGTTTGAATTGTAGTTTAATACAGTAGTGTACCGTACAGTTTCTGTGTTCATGTCATGAACGTTTCTGTACTTTACTAACACTATTTGAACACATATAAGTAAAACGTAAAACTCCCACTGCACATCACTGTTTCCACCTTTATCTGCTGTTGACACATCACTGCTGTGATGGTGTGAAAGGTGTAGACGTGTGATAAAGAAAAGTGGGCTGGATGATGGTGCGTTTATTTGCACTGCTTCAGCAGCAAGAAGGCCTCTGGTGAGGCCTTGTCCAGAGAAGTTCAAATCTGTATTTCATGGGTTTTTGCCTAGTTTCTCTGACTTCCAAAAACATGCGTGATCAGTTAGCTAATTGTAAATTGACCATGAGTTTATATAAATACACATAACTATTGGGAATTTAAGTTCCCAAATTTACTCTGTGTCCTGTACTGTGACATCAAAACAGAAACCCGCAGACTGCAACCATCAATCTTCCTACTGTAAAGTGAAAGTCCTAATGAACGGCCTAAAGTATGCATGGAAAACATAGGTAGTTATAATTTAATCATCTTAAAACTACACAAAACATGTACTCCTGAGTTAAAGTATTTTCAAAGTTTTTAAAAATATATAATTTGTTCTTTTGTCACCTTACATTCTTACATCTATCATTCATCTGTATTTTATACTAACTTAGTCCATGCATGTTTGGGGGGTTTGGTGGAAAGAAGGGAACTATCTCCAAAAGTTAGCTGTCAAGAAGTTAGGAAGACCCTGGACAGACTGATAAAAACAGGATAGTAGAAATGAAAACAATGAGTAAACCATTTAATGCTTTATTCAATTAGTACAAGACAAAATCTCCAGTGACGATTTTGACAACTCAAATATATATTTTTAATTGTAGCTGCTTTTTAAAGTGGCTAGTTATAGACTGACTTACAATGTTGAGTCAAAGCACATAGCTTCAAAGAGCAGACATGTGCTTTGATTTCAGATAATTGTCATGACCGACCCACAAAAGCTGCTTATTTTCTGACCACCAACTTAGGGCATACCCTACCTTGATTCTGATTACCCCAGGGTTAGGTGCCCTATTCAGGTATGGAAAATTAACTAAAAAGACAATAATCATTCATCTTCACCCAAATATTACTTTTTAGAAATCCAATTATGGGTTATTATTTTCCACCTTCTATCTGAGAGATTTAACATTTGATAATGTCATTTGAATACATTTATCAACATAATATGTCAATGTCAACTCTGCTGTCTAAAATCAGCCCAGGGCTTGATTGGTCCATAGTTAATCCCCAACTGGACTGATAAGAACACCTCAAACTGGGGTACTTACTCTCCTGTGCAATCCTAAACATGCTTTAACGGAAACAGAGGACAGAATAACTTTCTTTCATGGCCATTTTAGCCCAAAACTCATTGCAGCATATGCAATGACTTTTGCATTTGGTGAAAAATGTCAGGCTCTGAAATGATTACACACAGTCACTTTTCGGTAGATTTTCACGTGTTCTGAAAATCAGTATTGTGTTAAGTCAGAAATGACAATTTATAAATGAGACTGATTTATTATAAAATCTGTTTTTTTAATTATATCCATTTTGAGGCCACACAGATAAATATGTTTTTTTTTTTTTTTTTAAAGAAGTGCAGCCTAATGCGATGCTCATATAATCAGATACGCCCTCGGGGCATGAAACACGACAATATACACATCTGGCACATCTGTTTATCATAAACATTCTTCATTAGAGGTGACAACCGTATTATTTACTTACTAACTAAACACTGCCATCTGGTGGAATAAGAGAAGTAGTGCTCTTAAAATAAAACAAATCCTGATTCATTCATGCATTTACTTGTATATTCTCCAAAGTTGAGAACAAAAATGTAGAGCCCAGAGCCAAATCCTGCATAAGTTCTATGTCAGTCGCTGAGCACCACTAAACTTTATGGAACAAGCAACGCAATCCTTGGAGATTCCCGTTAGTACAGATCAAATAAGCTTCCATCTTTATAAAGAAGACATATTCATCCTTCTTATCTGCATATCTGTTATCACCTAATTGTTGCATTATAATTCACACACACACACACACATATATATTATTATACAATGATATTGGCATTTAAGCCATGAACAAAACAGAGACATCGTTTTTTTTCAGTGTCATCAAGTTTCATTTTGTCACTATCACATTATTCAACAAATCAATCTTTAACTAACGAAGATTTTCATGTAAAATTCAACCTTAATTTTTGGAAGTGATGTGCTGAATATTCACTCTTGGCCAATGGTGTCTAGCCACGATTTTCGGTCATCGACTTATGTTGAGGGATCTGATTGGACCGCATATGCCATATGCTTGGCAGTGATTGGTCCAATGTTGTGCGTGGTGCGCAGCCATTGGTCAATGGTGGTGGGTTTAACGGACTGGGCACGCTCACTCAGTCGAAGAAGTAGCCGCACGGCAACTGCTGTAAAGACAGAGCTTCCTACGCTGTTTCCCCTGCCTTTTGTCTCAGGAGCTGAGCACTCACAGCATCAGTAGAGCTTTATTTCAAAATGAAACGAGTTTGGGTGGTAGGGCTGCTTTTCGCACTTCTAGCCTTCGGTGAGTAGTGGGAAGTTTTTTTTGTCATTGTGGCTCACTTACTCTTCATAAATTTTTTTAGCTACTTTAGCTACAGCAAGGCTAATAGAAACTTGTCTTTGTGCTTTTCCACCTCGTGCTCTTTCATAGCTATTCTTATATTTTATTTATGCATAAATATGAGTATTAAACCTTCAAAACGGCTTATATTGATAGCTCAGAACAGCTTCAATGTTCTTTATTCCTTGTTGCCTTTCCAGAAGTTTCTGGTTGTGGGAATGAAACCGCACGTTGGCTGCTATGGAGACAGGGAAATCCTAGGGCAGATGCGCTTTAATTTTTATTCATTTGTCACAATAAAAACTATTGTGATTCGTAACGGATTTTTTATAAGTTTCTATTAGCAACACAATTCATATCACAGAAAGACATCCACCCTATCGCAGTCAATCGGACTTTCAAGCTAATTTTGTATTTTAAATGATCAGTGTCAACCGTTACAACCGACGCAGATGTATGGTACGACATATGTGACAAAAATGTAACCATATCTGTTCCGTGGCAGCTGCTGTAAGGGCTGAGGATGAAGTGGATGTGGATGGCATGGTTGAGGACGACTTGGGAAAGAGCAGAGATGGCTCCAGAACAGATGATGAGGTGGTGCAGAGGTAGGTGCAACTTATTTGCTGAAGAAATTTAAAAATAAGCCTTCAGAATACGTTCAAATTTGTCATTTCCAATATTGATGTTTAGAACATCAGGACTGAAAAGAACATTTGAAAATCAATTATGGGCAGTTTGGTGTTACAGTCATTGATTCATGTATGCTTTGTATATCAGTGTTTGGTACTTGTCTTGGAGTTGCAGAAAATGTCTTGCATGACCATTAAGAAATGTTACTGCCATGTTGAGAAGTTTTAACTGCCAATACAGCTCTTGTAGCTAGATGGGAAGTATACAATAAAATTGTTTAAATGGTCCTTATGTATTTAGTGTATGAGATGCTTACAATCTAAGCAGAAGTGTCCAAAAAAATAAACACAATACATCTTCTTTATCACAGAATATTGTGACTATGCACATTTTTCTGAATTATTGCAAATCCAGAGCTGACACAATTTTTTTTTTGGCAACACTGACAATCACCCAAATTCAACATCAGCTCCACCAAGCTTATCCACACAGATCATCAGGGCAGACATGCGAGCAGTGAAAGTGTCCTCTTGCTTCGAGCTGCTGATGTCTACGTAGCTGTAGATTCTCATTCCTCAGTCCTCCAACTCTAAAACAAGGAGTCCAATTGCTTTCTGTTTATGTACGTTTTTAATCTGTGTGCTCTGTTTTGTTTCACTTGCGTTTCTGTATTTGTCTACTTTCAGGGAGGAGGAGGCTATCCAGCTGGACGGTTTGAATGCTTCTCAGATTAAGGAACTCAGGGAAAAGTCTGAAAAACACGCTTTTCAGGCAGAAGTCAATCGTATGATGAAGCTCATTATCAACTCTCTCTACAAAAACAAGGAGGTTAGTAGTAGGAGGAGGAGGATAAAAAAAAAACCTCTGTTTGGATTCTTGTCTGGGGGATGCTCACCTGTTCATGTCTTTCAGATCTTCCTCAGGGAGTTGATCTCTAATGCCTCGGATGCTCTGGATAAGATCCGGCTGTTGTCGCTTACTGATGAGTCAGCGTTGGCAGCAAATGAAGAGCTTACCATCAAAATTAAAGTAAGCAGTGAGATAAATGGTATTCAAGGATGTTTGAAATTGCTAAAATTTTCAATTCAGTCTCCTCAAATGTGATGGCATGGAGAATGCCAGAGTGAATTTTATACATTTCTCCCCCCTCAGATTGAAGCAGGAAAATGCTATTCTGTCCTACCTGAGTGTGTTAAAATAAAATAAAAAATATTACTTTGATATTGTTCCCTTGCTTAAAATAAAGACAAATTAGGTTAAAATAAAAAGGTGCTGTAGGTTTCTGATTTCTAAAGTATTTTAATGAGATTTTCAAAGTATCTGCTGGAATACATGCAAACAAAAGTAATTTGATCATTTTACACCATTTCAGTTTGAACATTATTTGTAAAAACCATAAAACCTAACCATCTTTGCTTTATTATCAGAACTGTCACACTGTAAATAAACCCCTGACATGTCTGTCTCCATTCTCGTTGACAGTCTGATAAGGAGAAGAACATGCTCCACATCACCGACACCGGTATCGGAATGACCAAAGACGAGTTGGTGAGAAACTTGGGCACCATCGCCAAGTCGGGCACCAGCGAGTTCCTCAACAAGATGACGGAGATGCAGTCTGAGGGGCAGTCTACGTCCGAGCTGATTGGCCAGTTTGGAGTGGGTTTCTATTCTGCTTTCCTTGTCGCTGACAAGGTCATTGTGACATCCAAGCACAACAACGACACCCAGCACATCTGGGAGTCAGACTCCAACCAGTTCTCGGTCATCGAGGACCCCCGTGAGGACACGCTGGGAAGGGGAACCACCATTACGTAAGTTTGAGTGTAATGGCTGATGAATAACTCTGTAAACATTTTACTAGTTGCATAGTCGCTGCTTCAGTTCTCATTCTGCACTGGCCTTGAACTTGAGTGTTTCGCCTCTTATTTTTATTTATTTTTTTCCAAACTCAGACTGGTCCTGAAGGAGGAGGCCTCAGACTTCCTTGAACTAGAAACCATCAAGAATCTTGTGAAGAAATACTCCCAGTTCATCAACTTCCCCATCTACGTTTGGGCTAGCAAGGTGATTATTTAATTTCAACACTCATACCTGCTATTATAAAGTTGATGGAGAATATGGAGGAGAGTAAGTGGTTTTTGTTGTGAACATGTAAGACTGAGACGGTTGAAGAGCCCATCGATGACGACGCTGAGGCAGAGGAACCAGAGAAGGAGACTTCTGAAGATGAGGCTGAAGTAGAGGAAGAGGAGGAGGCTAAAGATAAGCCAAAGACCAAGAAGGTAAGGGCTTAAAGTGTATAATAGTTTAGTTAAGCTGTACTTCTTCTAGTGTGTATTTTTTATTTTCTCCCTCAAAACACCCCAAAGTTAGATGTTTACTCCTTTAATAGAACTGCTCTAGCTTTGCTCACCTGAAACTCTAATTATCAACTTATTAAAATATTTTTTTCTCTACAAAGTCCATTTAAAATAAATGGTACATGTTCAACTTAATTGTTAACAGGCTCCAATTGAGTGTTGGCTGCCAACAGCAGTTTTGTCCTATCATCTTTTTTTTTTTTTTTTTTTGTTCAGTCTCCTCTGCAGTTTAACAGAGTTTCACAATCTTTCATTATGGACTTGATTAGACTCCATAATGGACCGTGGTAATAACTGCCACAGTTATTACTGTGGCTGTACATGCCTGAAGTTCAGGTTCAGACCATTGGTTTTACAAGAGGTTTCCAACCTTTTGGACTTCCTTGAATTTTTTTTTTTTCACATCCCAACAATGTCGACACTAAAGAGAACTGTACATACAGACTGCTGGCACTTAACTGGATATTTAGTTTCTAACCAAGAACCAGTTTTTTTTTTTTTTTCTTGCCTGTTGATCTAATCTTTTTGCTGTGTCATAGTGGATTGGATGGTACCAAAGGTCAGTATTGTACCATTTCTTAAACTATCATTCACATTGTAGGTTGAGAAGACAGTTTGGGACTGGGAACTGATGAATGACATCAAGCCAATCTGGCAGAGACCGGCCAAAGAGGTTGAGGAGGACGAATACAAGGCCTTCTACAAGACCTTCTCAAAGGTATGAACGATCTATATTAGTCAGACAAGTGGAAAGCCTTTTTTATATAAAGACCCTGTTGAATTCCAGTCACGATTTTCTCCCCCACCAGGACAGTGACGACCCCCTGGCTCACATCCACTTCACTGCTGAAGGTGAAGTTACCTTCAAGTCCATCCTGTTCATCCCCACGTCGGCTCCACGTGGCCTCTTTGACGAGTACGGCTCAAAGAAGAACGACTACATCAAGGTTCGCGAACAAAGCAGAGTTTAGTTTCAATAAATGAGGGAGAGAAAACGTATGCAGGAGTTTGAGATTCATGTCAAAACTTTGTGTCACACAGCTGTTTGTCAGGAGAGTTTTCATCACAGATGACTTCAACGACATGATGCCCAAATACCTGAACTTCATCAAGGGAGTGGTGAGTTGCTGATGGCTGGTTGGTTTATATGATTTGTTTAATCGTCACTTCGTCTGAGACTAAATGTGGTCTCCTCTGCCAGGTTGACTCTGATGACCTTCCTCTGAATGTGTCCAGAGAAACTCTGCAGCAGCACAAACTGCTCAAGGTAATCTCAAAGTCCTTTGCAGTCTCTACAGTCCTTAAATGAAAGGGTGAAAGAAGTTTGGTTAAAAAACAATTTCTCCTGACCCCATAGGTCATCCGCAAGAAGCTGGTCCGCAAGACTTTGGACATGATCAAGAAGATCGCAGATGATCAGTACAACGAAAAGTTCTGGAAAGAGTTTGGAACCAACGTCAAGCTGGGCGTCATCGAGGACCACTCCAACAGAACCCGTCTGGCCAAACTGCTCCGCTTCCAGACGTCCAACAGCGACACCGTCCTGTCCAGCCTGGAGCAGTACGTGGAGCGCATGAAGGAGAAGCAGGACAAGATCTACTTCATGGCAGGGACCAGCAGGAAAGAGGTGAGTAACGATGGTACAGAGTGGTGGCTTGGAGGGTGTTGAAGAGTAGAAAACTCACTGAAATAATCTGTGGTGTCTTGACAGGCGGAGTCTTCTCCCTTCGTTGAGAGGCTGCTGAAGAAGGGCTACGAGGTCATTTACCTGACGGAGCCCGTGGATGAGTACTGCATTCAGGCACTGCCAGAGTTTGACGGAAAACGCTTCCAGAATGTGGCCAAAGAGGGGGTCAAGTTTGAGGAAAGTGAGAAGGCCAAGGAGAAGAGGGAGGCCCTGGAGAAGGAGTTTGAGCCTCTCACTACTTGGCTCAAGGACAAGCCCCTGAAGGACAAGGTTGGGAATTTGCTGTGGTGTTTCACAGACCAACAGAAATCATGGATTTGGCTCGTTTTTAATGTCACACATTCAAATTATTTTCCTCTTTTCTCGACAGATCGAAAAGGCCGTTCTCTCTCAGAGGTTGACCAACTCACCCTGCGCTCTGGTTGCCAGTCAGTACGGCTGGTCAGGAAACATGGAGAGGATCATGAAGGCTCAGGCTTACCAGACAGGAAAAGACATTTCAACAAAGTGAGTGTCAACACAGCTGCATGTCGGAAAATACAAGAACATCAAACGGTTTTCAGTAATTCAACTGAAATCTCATGGATTCATTAAGTGGAAGGATACTTAAAGTATTTATTTGATAAGTTGGGTGAAAACTCTAAAATGTCTTAAAACATTGACAAGACTTAAATTGTAGAAGGGATATTTAATGTGAAAATATTATGAAGTGGCCCAACCAATCACAGGGTTAAACCCCTTATATGATCGATGTACAACAGTCACACTGATGCACTCAACATGGAGTTTAAATCAGTTTTTTTTTTCATTGAAGTGTGCTGCATCCAAAAATGTTAATGGAAAGTTGAGTGGAAGGACAAACTTTAGTAGGAAAAATTACATGTATTACTGGGGATTCTAAAGCCCCATGAGTATTACCAACTCTCTTTGGGAAAATTGAGATGGTATGGACTTCAGCTGGAGTTGGTTCCTATAGGTCCAATAAACAATATCTTGTCCATGACATGTGATACAACAATCTAATTCCCTGACAAAACATTAGAATCTATTCGTTGTTTAATTCCTACTTAAACTTTTCAGTTATTTTAATTATGCTTAAGTGCCTGTAAACCTGTCTTTGTGTCTTATTGCCACTTGAAGCTCACATGCATTGTCATCTGTTCCTCAGTTATTATGCCAGCCAGAAGAAAACACTAGAAATCAACCCTAAACATCCCCTTGTCAAGCAGATGCTCAACAGAGTCAATGTAAGCTTCTATATAACCTTCTTACTGACACATCGTCGAATGTATTAAACCGTTTTTAAGAGGGTTTTGATGAAAATATGTCTGACTACTTTTGTTTCTTGCGTTTTTAGGCTGACGCTGAGGACCAGACCGCATCAGATCTGGCAGTGGTTCTGTTTGAGACGGCAACTCTGCGCTCAGGATACCAGCTGGCCGACACAAAAGCTTACGGAGACAGAATAGAGCGCATGCTCCGGCTCAGCATGAATGTTCCTCTGGACGAACAGGCACGTTCACTGGATTTTAATTTAATTTTGACTCCCATGCATTAATAATTTAATGACTTTACTGTTAAAGTGCCCATTAAAAATGGCGTCTTCTCTGTAGGTTGAAGAAGAACCTGAGGAAGAGCCAGAGGAGCCAGCAGAGGAAGAGTCTGAAGATAAAGATGAAGAAGTTATAGATGACGATGACGAATCGGTGAGGCTTCTTTGCATCGTTTCACATCCTTTATGCTCTCATGACTCTGAAAGCCAAAGATTTCACATTTCTTTGTTTTTGCCTTGCAGGCAGAGCCAAAGGATGAACTGTGAAGCACTGAAAAGGACGACGTGACAATGGAACTGGAAATTGGAGTTCTTGTTCCATTGCTGCTGTGTTTAATGTTATCTTGAGTGGGGTCCTGGGGATGGTTTTTTTTTTTTTTTTTTTTTTTTTTTTTTTTTTTTAAAAAAACTTTTTTTTTTTTTTTTTTTTTTTTTTTTTTTTTTTTTTTTTTTTTTTTTTACATTCCTCTTGACTGTAAATTTGTTAATATTTAACTGAACTGTTTATGGAAAGATGCAATTCCGTCTATTGATCAAATAAATGTTACCACAAAAATCTAATGGTCTGCTTCGTTTTGGAAAACATGATTTAAAAATGTGTTTTCAATGCAGAAGTGAAACCATGTGGTAAAGTACTACCAAACCATTTTGCATACAAGATGTCAAAATGTGACGCAGTATCCAGAATTTTTAGATTTGTCAGAACTGACTCGGTTGAACTAAAGAGAAACTCGTGTTTATGAAATTGGAGGATCGTTTGTGTAGTTTTAAGGCATGCTGCAAATATTTGGTGCAGCGGTGGGTAGAACTCCTAAAGTGTTACTTTTACTGCAGTTAAAATTATAGGTATTACGTTCTGCGTACTTTGTTACATCTGGCTTAATCTGTGAAAATGACAATTTGAATGCAAATTCTAGTATTTTTACAGAATGACCATTTTAAAACTTTCCACTCTTTCACAGCGTACAGCTTGTGAAACAAATGGAGTAGATGTTAACGGTTCAGAACATGACAAAGGACATCCTGAGACTCTGTATACTCGTATGGGTGCCAAAAGGCACATCAGAAAAATTTTTGGAACGGTTTGTGTACAAACAGGAAGTGTTTGAGGAGCCTCCCCTAACTGAATTTCCTTCAGTTAGGGGAGGAAATTTTACCAAAGTACTGAACTTCATATTAATCAAATGGAGAAAAAAAATATGGTGCAGTCAACTACCCACCTCTGGTTTGGAGGTGCCATATACATTTTGTGATGTAACCATTGTCCTGGAGAAACGGATACTGATCTGTCATCCATTTCTCAGGACAGACGAACTGGAGGAGGAACGTTGTGGGGAAACTGAACGGTTTGGGTACAAAATTTAGCTATGTAGAAAGAACAGTCTGCCTATAGATGATGGAGCAGGACTTAAAGAGACGGGGCCCAATTTCAAGGCATTAAATTACACAGTCAAATTTCTTTAAAGTCATATTTGATATATTGCATTTTTACAACAAATGGAGGTAACATGCATAGTTAACTTGGTAATGCCATTTTATAGCACAACGTGGCTGGAAATCACACACTGCTCCTTTAATACAGTGACAAGCTTTTGACACCATAGCATTCACCTCCAGTATGCCTTAAAGCAATTTGATTAAAATTGGCAACAACTTTGTCATATTTTTATTATTTAGGGAAAATATTAACTATTTCTCTCACCCTGTAGACGTTATCCATAGTTATCGGCTCTGTGAAGGGAAAACACAAACTGTGCTTAGACATTGTAGTATAATATTACGTCCTGCAGATGGCGCTATAACACGGATGGGATTATGTCAGAAACTCGTTGACTCAAATTACTGTAACTCAGCAAGGTTGTATATTACAAAGTAGCTGGTACACTTTCCCATTGAAATATAGTTTGTTAAATATGTTATAGTTTACGATCTACATTTTAATACTTGAGGTATTTTGTCTTTTAAAAAAATGATTTCTCTTATGTAAATGCACATTTATTTAGCCGACCCTAATGCTCTAATTATGTCTAGCCCTGATCAGATTCAAAGTATATCAAAAATTCCTAAATTTGTTCTGCTTTTTCACAACAAATTTAATACATGGACTATGATATTTGGTAAATATCCTACAAGAAAAGAGACACACAGAACAGCTTTTATAAAAGATCAGAAAGTTAACAGGCAGACAAGCAGAAATAATTGAAAATCTTCACCAGAGTGAGAAAATATCTTGCCTTCTAAATAAAAGGTGACAGATATAGGGCAGAGAAGGGGGAGGGGGCCTGGGGGTGTAGAGCAAAGCCTACACTTATAAAACAAACTGATACTTGTAATATCAGCTGCACTGTCACAGCTTCACCTTATATGTCTAAAAGCTTTCTGGTAGTATTTTTTTTTCTTTTTTTTACTTCATTAAGCTCTTTGTAATGGAATACACACCTCATCACCCTGTGAATTAAAAAGACAGGACATTTGTGCTACTTTTGATCACTGAGAAAGTGCCACTTCAAGTCAGAATTTGTGTTTGTGTGATTTGTGCACACCTCAGATTTTAATTTGCTGTATCAAAGCTCTATAATCATTGGATTCTTAAAATGGTTTTACTAGATAGTTTCAGCAAAGTTTATTCAGGCTTTTTGCTCTATAATAAAAGTCGTTGTTGGTATATAGTGTCTTGCCACAGAGTCACAATGTTCGAAATGCTCCTGCAGTAGAGTTATTGCTTTTCCGCCCCTGTGATTCCAGAGTCGGTCCCCAAACTCTCTGGCACTATGGCTTCATTATGAGATTTGCCTCTGTATTTATTACCCCCCCCCAACCGGGTTAAATCCACGTCCAACCATTTCTGATAAGAACAGTCCTCATATCCATCATAAGGCTCGCAGTTAAGAAGCACTTTTCAGATGTGGGTGGAGTGGACAAGTATGTATAATTTCACTCTGCACACGGATTAGACAAAACCTACAACTACTGCAAACTTCAGTCCGAATTACTTTTATTGTCCTCACATTCTTTGAGGGTGTGGTTTCATAATCTCAACCTAAAATAACAAGAGTTGACAGGCATAAAAAGTAACACAAAACTGAAAAACAATAGATTTGAGCACCGATGCATTTTATCAACTCCCATATTATCAATTACATAATATTTAAAATCAGCATAACAGCTTAATTACCGATGTAAAGAGACGAGACACACACACACACACACACACACACAAAAAATAAGAACATAAGCATGATGTGATGTCTAGTTCTGCCTGCAGGATCTGACCTCCTCCAGTGAAAATCCATGTCTGACAACACGTCGGCTTCTCTTTCCCATAATTTGTATTTTGCGACTGACTGCAGTTTCTGCGCCGCTGCTGCTCATGTACGCAATCCCTGGATAGGTGGTTACCATGGATTCCTGGGTCACATGCGTGGGTTTCCTATTGCCAGAAGCAGCAGAAGATGCTTGGACCAAAAATCCACAGCCATTTTCATTCAAGAAAAAGAGAGGATCCACTGTGGACGGCTCGCTGACTTATTGACTGACTGACTTGAGGGGTGGCCACACTACACACCCGGTTATCCTTATTTCCATCTGGAGGACGGGGGGGGGAAGCTGTTTTTTGTCTTTTTTTTTTTTCTGTATGTGTGTGTGTGTTATATTTTGTAGAATTCGCAGCAAACCGGTTTTGTCCACATCCAAAGACTGAAAACAGGAATGAGTATAGAAATTCCTGAGGGACTGACGGAGCTGTTACAGAGCTTTACCGTGGAAGTGTTGAGGAATCAGCCCCGGGATCTGCTCGAGTTTGCGTTACAGTACTTCACCCGGCTGAAGGACAGCGAGACCAAAGAGGCCTCCTTTGGCAATGACCAAAATTCGGCCCCGAGATCTGGGAAAGCGGTCAATTTCATTGACGAGGCCATGCAGATCGATTCGGAGAACGGGGAGGAGGAGGAGGACGACGACGACGACGACGAGGAATTCATAGGTAAGCCGATGGGTTTTGTTCGATGTGTTTTGTTTTGGTATTTTTATTTTTTTTATCACACAAGAGCATATGTGCATGTAGGTGATGTTAATGCATGTCGAGACATATGCATGCACGGTGGAGTGCACGGCTGGGAGACGACAGAAACAAGGCGCAGAGATGCTCGCCACCTTGCATCCACCACCGCGCTGTCATTTGCCATATATGGTCAGAGAGGCTGAGAGACGTGCTAAACGTGTCCAGCTCTGCATCTCTGAATCAGGGTTTTATTTGGGTTAAGAATGCATTTCAATAGCAACAGCTGCAGAATGAAGAGATCTTTCCTTTTATTTTTTATTTTTTTTTGTTGCCTCGGAAGGTCTCTCTTTAGTATTTTCAGGCCACGATACACCAGGCCTATTTAACCTCATTAGCCAATGAGAGGGGAAAAATAGACGGAAAAACACGAGATCTAAGCAACGCGTAGTTTTAAAGGTGACATTTTGTGTGTCCTGAAGTGTGATTGTATTTCAGACATCTGGCTATGCAGAGATGCGAGCAGCAGCAACACACATCAGAGGCAGCATCCCAATGAGTGGTGAGGCTAAAAAGGGCTCGATGCAGGGCCGGTCCCAACATAAATAGGGCCCTATGCTGAATTTACCAACAAGCACAATTTTTCTCCCTCCTCAGGTTTGGTTGTAGAAAAGTTTGGTTAAAGGTGCTAAATGAAGACGATTATTAATTATTACAGTTTGTCTCAGAAGTGAGAGATGAATACTAATTGAGTTGAGTACATTCTAGTTGCAAGTTGGAAAACAAGAGGAATTTATTTGTTGGTTTGGTGCTGACTTAGTAATAAAAGTCCATCACCGTATTCTGCTCTTTATCTGATCCAATTCACAAACTCAAGGAAAATGTTCTTAAATGGAGATTGTAGAGTGCTTGTTTTTTTGTTTGTTTTTTTGTTGTTGTTTTTTTTAGGGACACAAAGTCATTAACAAATGTTTTACCTGAAGCTTTAATTATATTTTACACTACCTGGGGGTCTGAGTTATGGCTGATATTGCCAGTTTTTCCAAACACTATTCCAGGACATTCTCGTTGCATTTTCAACTGGGAATTCTAAAAACAATTCAACATCCAACAAAATGCGACTTAAACCAAAACCAAACCCCATGGTAGAACTTCAAGACTTTTACGTGTGCTGCAATGTGAAAACTTCTAGACTAAAACAAAACACCTGCTTTGATTCCTTTTTTCAAGTCTTTTATTTTTTTCTTTCTTTAAATATGGGATCCTGGTATTTGAAGGTGGTGTCAAGAGTAGATGATGGATATTCAAAAAGGGGCACAATGATTGATAAAAAAAAAAAAACAAATAAAAAAAATAGTTTGCAGAAAATTTGTCTTTAGACTCAAGCAACAAAAAATATATAACGAAACTCATTGCAAAAATGCACAACTCCACTAACACTGTGTTAGCTGTTTAAAATCTTAAAAGCTAAACAAAAAAAAAAAAAAAAAAAAAAAATCAACAGTCGTAATTTTAAACATCTGCTATTTTGGGGAGCAACAGCTCAATTTAGTTGCAGCTTTAATCGACTGACCGGCTGCAGCGCCTACATGTGCGCAGCTGCGCCACGTTCATTTGTTAAATCGACGAGTTTTTGGGTCACGCTTGATGATCGTTCAGCCAGTTTCCCCTGGCCACTGCACGACTGGGAGGCTATCAATAGATGAGACTTCCTAATATACATTTCATGCTGATCTATTTTCCAGGAGCTTGGCACTTTTACACTGTGTTACATTTGAATGTTTTTTGTCTTTTTTTTCACCCTCTCATTGAAATGATTCAAAGACCTAAATCCACTTCAAAGCAGCTGTCCTCATTCAGGTTTCACCGTGATGAATATGGATCCCTTAATGAGTTAGGCTCCGCCGGGGGTATTAGCTGTGAAATCACAGCCACCTAAACCTCTTTTCAATAATAGCTTTCAGAGCAATTCAGCTTAAGATGGAACTGAACATGTGGCTTTTTATTGTTTACAGCGCCAGTGATAAACAGATTCATCAGAAGAGCATCGGGTGAGTTACAGTTTGCCGCTTGCTAAAGTTGGTTATTAACATCCTGTGGCTCTGGTCTGTGTCATTTCTCGGAGAATGGGCAGCTTCTCCGACAAATGAAAAAATTTTTTTTTTTTTTTTTTTGCCATCTGTCTTTTGTCATCATATTACAATAAGGTTGATTTGTAAGAGGCTGCAAAGCTGCTCTGTCTTGAACCTGGTTTATTATGTCAGTGAGTGACGTGGGTGAGAAAATCAGGACAAGTGATGCTTATAATTATCTCTCGCTCGCAATAGTGGGGAAAGGTTGTGGCTCTGGTGGAAAGATGGCTGATACGAAGCGTTCCACTTGTACTTTGTTAAGCCATGAGCATTTCGGGTCGGCTAACGTTGAAGATAGAAATGAAAACCATGAGCAATTGGACCTGCAAAGACGATTTAATTCATTCCTTATCCTGAAAGTTTTATCACAGGACTGTAAAAGAGCGTTTTTAACAAAATGTTGCTGTTTAATTCTGTTTGAAACATAGCACAGTTTACCCACAGTGCCTTGCAGAAGTATGCATATCCCTTGACAAACACAAACCTCAATGTAAATAAATAATAATGGCTTTCAAACATCCATTTGTAATTAAGCTACATAATGTGTTTCAATTAGTTGTAAAGTTCCATAAATAAATGGACTCTTTGGGAACATTCAGTTTTTGTTTTTGTTTTTTTGTTTTATGGGTTTGCATTAATTTGTTAAAATGGCCCAGTCAAAGTTCAGACCTAAATCCAACAAGACTCAAACATTCTAGCCCACATATGCTCTCCATCTAATCTGATTCAATGTGAGATGTTATGCATAGAAAAACTGACACAAGAGTAAATCTTTAGATTTGCAAAGGTGGCACGACTAAATTTGACTCATTTGGCTTATGACAGATGTACGCCATGCTTTCTGTTTGTAGAAAGTGATGAAATAATTTCCTTTACACTTCATTATTGTACGCTCCTTTGTATTGGTCTGTAAAAAAACCCCCCAAAAAACAATGATGCTTATGGGTGTAATGGGACAAAATCTGAAAACACTGAAGGGCTGTGAATACCTCTAGAAGCTACCGTATTGCATTCAGAGGCATGACAACAGGACGGGGAACAAAGCTGTTTGTCTTTACTGTCTGCAGGGTTCTGTGCAAACATGATTAAATGCAGCTTGTAATATAGAAATATGTACTTTGAGGTCGACAAAGTACAGCATAGATGTGACAATGTTTTCCTTTGTTGATACAGTGTGTGCAGAGGCGTTCAACCCTGACGAAGATGAAGACGATAAAGAGCCAAGGGTAAACTCCAGTCCACACAGAACAATCTTAGAATCTCTTAGAATCGGAAGACATTTTTGTGAAGAATGTGATTTCTTTATCTAACCATCGTCCACTGTAAGGCAGTCCCACATGAAACGCGTTTCGCCTCGCAGGTTACCCACCCCAAAACCGACGAGCAGAGGCAGAGACTACAGGAAGCTTGCAGGGACATTCTTCTGTTCAAGAACTTAGATCCAGTGAGTACATGACCTGGCCCAGCAGATTTACGATGCTTGTTTTTCCTCCCTGCGTCATTTCAACCGGTGGTCAGCTGTTTAAGTTGAAATATAGATTAAATTTTTTATTTATTTTATTTATTTTTTTCAAACACAAAGAAACTGAAACAGCTTTATGTTCCTCTCCTTCTCAGGAGCAGATATCTCAGGTTTTGGACGCCATGTTTGAAAAATTCTGCACGGAGGGAGAGCACATCATTGATCAAGACGATGACGGGGACAACTTCTACGTCATCGAAAGGTGCTACAACACGCACTTACTTTAAAACGATTAATTGTGTCTGTCTATATATTTTTTTAAATCGTTTATTCGTGGCTTTGCTTTCGGTCAGCGGGACGTTCAACATTTTCGTGAAGATTGAGGGCGCGGAGAAGCTGGTGGGCTCCTACGACAACAAGGGCAGCTTCGGAGAACTGGCGCTGATGTACAACACCCCCAGGGCGGCCACCATAATTGCAACCTCGCCTGGAGCCCTTTGGTGCCTGGTGAGTAAAACATTACGCACCCGTGTGCAGGAGCACAGCTGGCTGTTGCTTGCTCAGGTTTTAATGACATACGCTGTGCAGTCAGCTGGCACAGTTTAAATAAACACCCAGGCTGTTTGTGGTTGCGCTGCAGCGTGGTGCTACAGATGGAAATGGCACAGTCAAGATTGGGTAACATATAACGTACAGCTGAAGCGTTAACTGACGCAGTCGCTGTTTCTTTCACACTGTTTGAAATGAAATCAGAAACTTTTTTTTATTTTTATTTTTATTTTTTACGTATTTTATAGTTAGTACTAACCAAACTGTTCCTGTTTGCTAAATAAAAAAAAATAGTTCTGCTTAGGTCAAACATTTTGCGTATTTTTTCACAAAATTTAAAAACGGTTTGGACCCGAGTGAAGTTTGTAGGCTGTCTTTGCCCATCCGCACTCTTTCAGCCGAAAAATAAAAACTTAGCTGGTCCAAAAGAGGACAGAAGGAAGTCACATAACCTACAGCATGTGAATATCTGGCTTCATCTGCATGAAATCCAGTGGATGTGAGAGTCAGACTGGAGGAGTAATATCACTGCTTGATATGAATTTACATATTCATTAAGAGCTAATGAAATTGTAGAAATGACTCAATAGAATTTGGATGTAATTTTGTCGCTGAAAAGTTTCCCGTGGCCGGATGAGCAGCGCGACGGTTCGGTTGCAAGAGAAACATCCCACTTATTCTTGACTCAGCAAGGTCTGTGTCCGTAAAGAGCAGCTAGCGGCTCTGTTATGTCATCTACGGGAGACGAGGGACGTTGACGCTGAGCCCTCTGCTGACCCGAGAGTCTTAGAGTGTGCAGCTTAAGCTGTGAGCGAGCAAGGAGCTCCTTTCTTCACGATGCAGCCAGCTTTGTCTGGGGATGAGCAAGTGGTGCCAGAGAGTCTCTGAGCTAACAGAACATTACAGTGGACATGTTATTTGGCGTCTGACGTGCACTAGTAATTACCTCTTTATTAAGGCGTGTGGATCTCGAGCCTGTCACGGCGAGTGTCGGCTAGAGGAGGGCGCCCTCTGCAGCTAATGATGCTTCCTACATTGTAGTTCAATCTATTTTATTGTTGACACTTTGTTCTTTGAGCAATATTTAATTCACTGGCACCGTATTGCAGACAGATGGCACAAGCAGGAGGAACGTTTGCGTGGCTTGTTTCTTTTTTACTATTTGAATAAATGCTTTTCTTGCAAAAAAAAAAAAAAAAAAAATGACAAGCTCATTTTGACACCTAATGCACATTGTGGTTTCATAAGAGTTGGTGTCTGACAAAGCAGCAGAACAGTCTGGAGTTGTAATAATAAGAAGTGTAATGATACATTTACCTCATGAAATGACAGGCTGTACTGGGCCCTTGGCACAAGTTGATTTGGAGACTGGCCAGTCAAGCTGATTGTCCACCAGCCACAAACAATGTCAACGTTTAAGTGTTTCTACAATTCTACTTTTACAATTTTGTTTTCAAGCTAACCAATGGGTCAACAATTGATGCGCATTTTACAAGTTATTTAAATGCTTTTATTGTCATAGTTTCATTTTCACATATTCCATCCTTCTGTCTATTGTTTATGCTCACTTATACGTGAAGGCGCACACCCTGCAGGTTCCTCCGCCCACAGCAAACCGTGCTGAGAGCTCAAGAAATTGTTAGATTTCCTCTAATGCTGGGTTGTTTCTCCAACTCTAGCACAGTTGCAGCATGCTGGCAGTCTTCAGCTTCAACAACTGTGCAAGCTGAATGGGGGAACAGTGGGAGCAGCACATACATGAGCATGATTGACGGTGTCAAGACTTTCCTCCTAGCTCTGATTGGTTGTTTCTGACAGGGAGTAATGTATTTCAACATTTAGCAGCTGGATCTCTGGGAGGAGCCAGAGAAGTTAGATTTTTAAAAAAATCTGTTCTTGTCAGGTCATTGTGACAATTTTAACAAACATGTACAAAAATATATATTTTTAAATACAAACAAACAAAAAAACAACAACAACACCTATATCTGTAGACATGAATAAAAGGTTGTTTTATTTCAAACTTTGTTTCAGGATCGTCTTACATTCCGGAGGATCATAGTGAAGAACAACGCCAAGAAGAGGAAGATGTACGAAGCGTTCATTGAAACTCTCCCCCTACTCACATCTTTAGAGGTCAGATTTGCACCACAGCATCAAACAAAGGGCACCGCGGACTCACGGTGAAAATGTTGACGGCCTGATGTCTTTTCAGGTGTCGGAGAGAATGAAGGTAGTCGACGTGCTATCCACCAGGGTGTACAATGACTCACAGCAAATCATTGCTCAGGTAATTCGTCTCCGCGTCGAGTGTTTTTAGTGACTTTGTCCTCCGTGTTGCACTTGCAAAGTTTGAGTCCGCTTACCTGCATGCTGTGTTGAAACAGGGTGACTTAGCAGATTGCTTTTACATCGTCGAGAGCGGCCAAGTTAGGATCACCATGAAGAGAAGCCGGGTAATTCTGGACGTTTTGAAACGATTTCTGTGTCCACTATGCTTTCCAACCTCACAACCGGGCGCGTAAGCTCAAAAAGCGTGTGCTGGAAAGCGTGTTTTTCGGTTCTGCTTTCTTATCCTTGTGCCTTTTGTTTCTCACAAGACAAAAAAGGACGAGGAGGAGGAAGAGGAGGTCGATATTGCCACGTGCACGAGGGGCCAGTATTTTGGGGAGTTGGCTCTTGTCACAAACAAGCCCAGAGCTGCATCGGCATATGCTGTGGGGAGTGTCAAATGCTTGGGTACATTTTGTACACTTCTTTGATGTGCTGTGTTAGGGGTCGAGGCAGCCATGCATACTCACTCTTGTGCTATGTCTTTTTAAAACATAGCAGAAGAGTGTTTGTGCAGAATTACTCATAAGACAGGAGATGTTGTTAAGAACACTCAGACACCAACAACATGAATGGCTGCAGCCGCAGTTACTTGTGGAAGTTGATTTTTTTTTATATACATTTTCTAACATCAAAACCACAAAGTTCTGTATCTTATTTGTCTTATTAGCAAAACCAACACAAAGCACTGCATAATTAATAAGTAAACGGAAAATACTTTTTGAAAATTGAATCCATAAAGTGTGGCATGAAAATGTTTTCCCCTCCTGAGTGAATGAATATTTTATGAAACCAAGTTGAGATTTGTCCCCACCAGCTTGTCTGAAAAACAATTTTCAAGTCTTTCCACAGATTATTAACTAGATTTAGGTCTGAACTTTGACTAGGCCATTCTAATTAGACTTTGACCTAAACCATTCCATTGGCTAAAGGTTTGGGGGACCTTGTCCTGTTGTACAGTGAACCTCCACCCAAATCCATCCAATATTTTTTTATTAACTGATCAGCTTTTTATGTCTCTAGACATTAAGTTTGACTTAAATAGACATATTTCATGTCTATTTAATAGTGTATTAGGTTATAAAGTATTTCTGAATTTGAATTAAAAGTTGACTTTAAATGCGCTGATTCTAGTAAGGGGAAAGGGCTGGATTTGTATTAATAATAAAACACGTGTCATTATTTTTCCACTAAACAAATGCACTACCATGCATTGGATTATACTACAAAATGTATTGAAGATCAAATGTAAGTTGAAGGAGCATGAAGTTTTGCTAGGTGTTCTGTGAGTAATTCATCAAAATGAACTTTATTTTCTCATCTTCTCTAAATAGACAGTGCTTAATTAGCATCTTGCATTTGCCTTTACGCCAATAAAAAAAAAAATCTTTGATGAAATTTACTCTCAATATAAAGACTTCATGTTTTACACAACCTTCTATGATTCCCATAAAAATCAAAGCTGTCTTTTTGTCTTTTTTTTTTTTTTTTTTTTCCAAAGTCATGGACGTGAAAGCGTTTGAGAGACTCCTCGGCCCTTGCATGGACATCATGAAGAGGAATATCGCTAATTACGAGGAGCAGCTGGTGGCCTTGTTTGGAAGTAGCGCTGAGATTGAGCAACAGAGTGCATAAAGCGACTCCAATGAACCATGAAGGAGACGGCGGAAACAAAAAAAAAAAAATCAAAACAAAACAAAAAAATAATCTCACTGTGGATGTTTTCCACAACACTATTCAAAACAGAAGAAGAAATGTGAATATCCACTACACCACATTTGAGTGTCTTACAATTAAGACTAAGATATGGGCCGTGTTAGCAGAGCGTACGACAGAAAGTCGCAACTTGGGAAGTTGCTAAAAGCCTGTTTTATTACATTAATCATGACTTTCACTGTAAAGAATATGTGTGCATTTTACTTGTCAGTGTCAAGTGCTTCACTTTCTTTGAAAACCAAAACACTTTCTTATGCCTCACCCCCATTTTTTTGTGACAGTGGTATTCTGATAATTTTTTAAAAAAAAGTGTATTATTGCTTGTAAATTTCAAAATTTTACCAGTCGTAAATTGACGCCAAAGCTGATTTGTGTTTGGATAATCATGAGCAATTTTGGCGCCACTACCTTTCGCAGTAGGAGAAGTCCACATGAACTACAATGGCATGAAAAAGCATTTGCCTCCCTGTAGATTTCTGCTTATTTTGCTTCTTTTTGTCAGACACAAATGTTTTAGACATTGAAACAAATTTTAATGTCGTGCAAGGATAGCCTGAGTAAATCCAAAATGCAGTTTTCAAATGGCGATTTAATTTACTTAGAGAAAAACCTCTCCAAGCTAACTACGCAAATAAAAAAGTAACTGCTTCCCTTGTTATGCCTGCATTAGCTATAATTAACCAGGTTTTCTTTTAAAGTACCTAACTGTGACTTTACTATTACCAGAGGTTAGGAAGTCACAAGAAATCGTGTCTGATGAGACATGAGAGCCATAGCACACAAACAGAGAAAACTTTGAACAATTGGGAACTTTCAACATATCTACCAAAATTGTTCTAAAACTGCAGTGAGATTTTTCTCCAGCCCTGAACTGATGCCTCTCTTTCCTCAGTTAATTTCAATGTTCATCATTCGACCATAAGAAAGAGACAGGGCAAAAATGTCATCCTTGAAGGTTTGCAAGGCCAAAAGCCCCATCTCTCATTTGCCAGAAGTATCTTAATGAAGCCAAAGACTTTCTGGAAAATGTTTTATGGACTGGTGAGAGGAGAGCAGGACAATTTGGAGGGTGTGTGTCCTGTTAGATGTAACATAAAATTGGCACGGCATTTTGGAAGTCAGAAGTGTGATGCTCCGGGGTTCGCTTTGCTTCTTTAAAACCAAGATTACGTCCCTTTCTCAATGGAAACGTGAATTCTGCGAAACCTTTTAATGTGGTTAAATTAAAAGGACTCTGCAAAAGCCAACCAAAGTTGTTCCACAGAAATGGTGTGACGGCAGCGGTTGTCCCAAGGGGTGGAACAAGCAGTTTATTAGGGTTTATGGGGGAATTGCTTTTTCCCATGAAGCCATGTCATTTTTGACGGCTTTTTTTTTTTTTTTTTTTCCGTAAACACGTCATTTGAAATCTGCCATTTGCGTTTTACTCACAGTATCTCTGGTCCATCTTAAGATTTGTTAATTTGAAACATTTAGGCGTGATAAAAAAAAAAGCAACAGAAGAAGAAATGTGCAAAGGAGGTGAATACCTTCTCACCGTGCTGCATTTCTAAATCTTTCATACTTGGTTCACATTTATACTCAAGTACATCTTTGTTTATTAGCAGATTATAACTCTTTAATCTGATAAACAGTATTTTATTCTTCATAAGTGTTAGTGGCTCTTTGCCGAAATTCTCTGCTTTTACAACAAAGCCAACGTCAGAGGGAGAGATAGCTGATAGTTTTGTAAGAATATACAACACATTGCTGTACTATTTTGAAACTGAGTGTTATTATACGGTGTAGGCCCACTTTTCATTTCAGACATTTCTCCACTGGATCGTAGTCATTGTAGGCAGTGTCTTGAGACAGTTTCCTTTGCTGTGTTTTAATGTGAGATTTAGCCCATATTTTTTTGGTGTAGGTAAAATATACATTATTGCTGTCTACCTCTGCCAACGACAATTTTTGCATAAGCCTGTCGAACAGAAATCAAAAAGGGGTCATTTTCTTCTTCCCCCAACTAATCTCTCTCGTTTTTTTTTTGTTTTGTTTTCTGTAACAAAGTTCTTCTGGTTTTTTTTTTGTTTGTTTTTTTTTGTCTACAGCTGAGTTTACATTTTAAAATGTTGATCTCCAACCCTTTTAGTAGCACTTTTATTTTTTAAGGCAAGACCACAACATTAGCCAGAAAAAAAAAACAAAAACAACAAAACAATTATATGTCTCACTTTTCATGTCATTAAAGAACATTTTATATTTCTGTGTGACACGAGATTATTTGTTGTTACCCATGAATTCAGGGCCTTTGTCATCTCAACACTGTTGTTCCTGTGGTTTAAAACATAGACAAAAATAAAACATTTCTAAATGTAAAATGCAAAAGTTTTGAGTTCAGCAAGAAATAAGAGGTATATCACTGTATTTGTTTATTTAAATCTGTATTATCCTTAATATTAATGACTGTCAAGCATGAGTCATTCTGCTATGACTCATCTGACAAATTAACATACTGAGGATGTAGGAATTATTACTTCAATATACTTGCAGTCAGGCCAGTGATTTGTGTGCTTCAAATGTGCTTGAAGATTATAAAGTTGAAATTATTTTTTTAACTACTTAACACAGAGTATATTTTATTAGGATGGTGGTAAAAATTAATAAAAGACCTAAATACAGATTAAATAGATTAAAGCACTGGTACATCTCAGTAATATAATATCTTGAAAATTTGTATTTATTCCAGTAATTCAGTTCAAAAATTGACACATACAAATTTATCACACACAGAGGGAATATATTTCATTTTTTAATTTCTGTTAGATTTGCCTGCAGTAAAAATCTGAAATTGTGTTTACATAAATACAAATAGCTTTTTAATAGTGTTATGACCTACACTCATGTGGAAGTTAGGCATTGGCAACTTTCATTCAGAATTTAAGGTGCAAAATGTTTTTGCTAACGACGATTGCTACGATTGCAATTTTCAATAAGAATTGAAAGTTGAGAGGAAGAAAAAAGTGTGAGTCTGAGGTGTGGATTGGGGAAAGACAAAGTATCTGAATCATCCTACATAAAAAGAAAAAAAAAAAACCTGGACTGTTGCTGTACAACATACAGCTCACTTATACTCAGTGGTCCAGTCCGCTATTCGGATGAAAGTAAAGTCTGAATCTCATTTGGAAATCAAAGCACCGAAGTCGGGAGGAACAGAAAACAAGTATGAAGTTTTCACAGTTAGAGAAGATTTTAGTAACCATTTCATCTGCTAGTTTTGGTTGACTGTGTTCTTTAGCGCAGTCATTTACCAGGAGATCTTATGGAGCTTTAACCTTTCTTCTGCTGTCAAGCTTTTTTGCAGATGAAAATTTCTTTCTTCAGCAGAATCTGCCCACTCTTCCAAAAAGAGCACCAATACTTGCTACTAACACTGCCTTCATGACCTATAAGCCGTGATAATCTAAATGAACAGAAATAAACACTTGAGTCTCTGTGCATTGACTATGAGTTTCATGTTTTGAATTGAACTGCTAAAATAGAATGGAAAGGAAATATAATTGTACAAAAAATGCACAAAAATTATATTTTTATGTATTGAAATTCACTTGCATTTGCTGGATCTTGCAACAACAACAACAACAACAACAACAAAAAATCGCCTGTAGGAACATACCATCGCACTGTAGTGGAAAATTATAATGCGCAGCTTTGTAGTGAAAAACTACCCGTGTATTGTTCATGTTATTGCCAATCAGCTGTTACTGGGCAGTAACAAGCATATACTTTCAGCCAATCAGAAAATGATCAACAATCTCAGCTCCGCCTTCTTTGCTTTGCACAGTTGTATCAGCCAATGAAATGGCCTCTTTCATGATACTGATACTCTCAAAAGCCAATGGGAGGCGTTCTCTGGAAGCCCTCGTTCCCACCCCTCGACTGAAAGCCACAGAGTTTCTTGATGGCGATAGAAAGAAATGGTAAGTGGGAAGTTGAGTATTTATTTTCGAAGAAATAATGGTTCAAACTAAGTTTTGACCTGACTTTTATGCCATCTACGTTTTCGCAGCCTTGATACAGTGTTTCAGTTGGGTTGTCACGGCTTTATTTGACGGTTAATGACAGCTTGAGATCGACAATGATTTTTTCCCCCCCTTTCGTTGTGACGCTCGCTGTGCTGATGATAAGAACCCCATCCGACAGCTGCTTCGTGAAATAAATTGACAGAAGTTCGCATTAGCCGAGTAAAAGTGTGTTTTGAGTTTTAGTCGATGTTTTTGTGTCATTCATTTTGACCGCAGTAGAGGTTGCGTCATGTCTCAACTTGTTGACATTCTTTTGTTTACTGTGTTAAACCCGACAGGCTCAGGGTCTCAGTGGATGTGCTTTGCTTCTGGCTTTATGTAAAGAGGACTCCAGAGGCCTCTGGATAACCTCGTCGTTTTCAACATTTTAATGCACCTAAAGCGTTTATTTAACCATATGCTATCAATGAATCCGCGTTTATGAAAGCGAAGTGTGGGTTTTTCCTCTGCGCGGAGAGCAGAAGCTCGTCCTGTGCTGCTTTTGCGAGCTGATTCATTTTGGCGTAAGCAGCTTCCTTTGTAATAAAGACGGTTTTGCTTTGCTGCAGCGCTAATGGAGAAGGCCTAAATATTTTTTGAGTTTATAAAACACCTCGTGTTGTCGTCAGTAGCATTTTCCTTGTTCTGCTTTCGAGTTTCAAAGTTTCGTTAAACCGTTTTTAAGGCGATTTTGTGTTATTTAACTCTTCAGCTGCGTAGTCATGAATGAATGAGCTCTGATGCGCATGCGCCAACCCCCTCTAAGTTTATAAACAAGGCCTCCACGCAGCGGGTCACATGACCAATCACAGAGACAAAGGACTCCCTAAAGACTGCCCACTCGTTCCTTCATACTCATGATTGAAATGACATTCGTGGCTTTCAGACAGTCTGGAGCAGTTTTTCAACATGTCGTTGACATCTTGTGTATAAATTCAGAAACGTTTCAAACAGAGTTGGGTGTAATCATTCAGACTTTGATTATATTGTATTTGACCGAATTAAAACCCAGCGAGCAAGATTTTAATTGTATTTTTATAACAAATCCTGAATAGCGGTAGAATTGACATTTTACACAAACATTACACTGTAATTTCAGCTATGAGCATGATTAGTATGGTTAGTCTCACTGAAGCAGCAGAGTTTAATGTGCATTTCCTTGCATTTTCCTCAACATATCATTTTTAGATGTCTCAAATTTCGTAACATTTCCAAATCTGGTTCAAGGAGGTCAAAAGCTGTTCTTCGTAAAGCTTTCCTGTTATTTGCTGATAAGTCTCGCTCTTAGTGGCTGAATGAAACACAGACATGTCTTGACATGTCATAGAAAATGTCTATACTTCCTTTTTACTTCATCTTAATGCCACTTCATTGGTGTTGAAAATTAGATTTTTGAGTTTCCAAGCTAGTAGTTACAGATTGGTACCATTTAATTTGAAAATCGTCTGATTCCAGTGACCGGCCAGTTTCAATACACCCAGTTTAGTCCAAAGAATTCGTGTCATTTATTAGGATTCAGATCCAGTACATTCTAGTTCAATCCATATTATAATGAAATTCATAGATTCAGTTGATTACTTCATGGCAATTATTAAAAAACAAAAACATTTACCAGGAGAAATCCAGCTGATTGCATCGATTTATCGACTTTAATTATTAAGTGCTTGTTAATTCTTTCTTTTTTTTTTTTATCCCAACCAGCTGATGTTGCTAAACATGGAAGCTAAGTAAGTTCCTTCACAATCTTTGCTGGAAAACAAGAGGAAACGACTCGCACAGAGAATGGACGAGTCGTTTGATCCACTCAAGTGTAACGAGGACCTGCCTTCCTCACCTGGTTGCCACATGGAATATGGTGAAATGCTGAAACAGCAAGATTACATTTATCCCCCACTCCCTCCCCCTTCCTGCCATATTTGGGCTGAATCTCATTGCAATCTTTTCTTCAGACGACATGCCTGAACTGCAGGAGGTGGAGGAAGACCAGAGGTCTCAGGGCTTATTTCAGGTTGGAGCCGTGTCCCACCAGGAGCTCGGCTGCTCCCCTAACACCAACTGGCTCGCCGAGTTAGCCAACATTGCCACCAGTCCCCAGAGCCCACTGCTGAAGGACGTGCCACACAAGAGGTTCAGATAAATTTGCTCTAACTTGAAAATCAGATCCACTTAGGTGACTCAAGCCTGCTGATACACTAATAATGATACTCCAGCACACCCACAGGGGAGTTTTTAGAAAGCAGGATTGGCAGGCTCAAAAAACTACTTTTGAGGAGTTTTTGTATCTGAGCACTTCTGTTCTTTTTTCAAATTAATGTTTCACTTTAAAGCTATAGTGTCACTTACACAGTGTGTGTAGTTTTGGTATTGTGTAAAAAAAAAAAAATGGCACTGCAAGTGTATATTAAGCATGAAAAACATTTACATTTATCTCAATATCAATTCCAGATCATCTCCAGTTCACATCTTTGGCAACAGTAACAGCTTACATTCCTATGCTCGGCCTCCGTTAGCCAGCAGCGCGCCCAGCCCTTCCAGGGGCCACCTCAGGGAGCGCAGACGCGTCAGGGTAACCTCTCCGCACAAATGATTTCCTGCAAACCCCTTAATATCTACGCTGTTTATTTATTCCTAATCATTTGAGAATGACCCTGCTTACCCATGACAGGCCAGCAGTGAATCAGAGTCCGGGGTTTTCTCCATGTCCTCGTCGTTTTCTGATGACGAAGACATGGCGTGGTCTCATTCCTGGCCGTCCACAGCCTGGCACTGCTTCCTAAAAGGTGAATGCATTTGCACGCACGTTTGCAACGCCTTACAAAAGTACTCGTACTTGCTCAACTCAACGTTTTAGCATTTTATCGCTTTTGCAACAGCAAGCTGTAATGTATTTTACTGGGACTTGATGTGATAAATCAACGCAAATTATTTGTGAGAGGTAGAAAACATATGAATGGCGTTATGGTTGGTTTCCAAAAATAATCTAAAAAAAATACAGCATTCAGATGCGAATCAAGTTGGA